TGCCCAGCGTGTTGGGACGTGCATGGCACATGCAATCTCTTGTAGCTCGCCGGGAAGACATGGCGACCTATGGCCAACACTGTGGATTTCACCTTATTTGAGCAATTAATCTTGGGAGTGCTTTATCTCGTGAATTAATTTTTTCAGAACATTATCTCGAAAGTTTTGCCCGATGATTGAATGACCGTCCAACTAATACCATGAACCAAACCATTTCCCTTGAACTTTTGTGACATGATGGGCTAACTAAATGTAATGAAAGAAGGTAAAATTGTAATAATTTTCATCTAGTTTCTTCATTCCCAAACTATCAATATTTAATTGAGTCAGGGCAATTAATGATAACAATGAAATAATGAATTGATTAATCAATAATTAAAATGAGTTAGATTCGTTTGGAAGGAAATGATGGATACATATATAAAAATGGCTTATGGGACCTTTTGCAGTCTGGGCACGGAAAACCAGGACAGTTTTTGCCCACTCATATAAAAGAAAAATTTTGGGGCCGCAGTCAACGAAAAACTGTCTCCACCACCGCTTGTTTCGATTAAATTATAAAAATAATATCTTTTTAAATTATTTTTACTAAAATAATATCTAAAAAACCTTTAATTTATAAAATGAATCCTATAGGACGACGTCGCGTTTATGTGACAATATTTTTTTGACACTTTCTTATTTAAAGAAGCGTTCTTGTTTATGTGATAGGTATAGGATGACGTCAGTCAGAACGAATCTACGGGGCGGTGGAAGGGACAATTGTCCCCCCAACTTTAGCGGTTTAATTAGTTTTAGATCACTACTATTTTTTAAATCGTTAAAATCAAGCCCTTGCCCCTCTCAAAATTTATTGGTTTAATTGTATTTTAGTACCCATTTAGTTTTAAAATAAAATTTTGGTTTATAAATTTTCTGATTTAATTACTCTTTTAGACACTTCCATTTTAAAATTAGTGCAATTAGACCATAACTTCTTTAAATTTTATGATTTTTTCAATTTTAAAAATCATATTTATTTCAAATTTAAACAATTTATTTCCTCATCATTCAATCTTGGCTTCGTCCCTACGTTAGCATTTGGAGAAACAATTCAAGTGACCTACCGCACAAGTAAATAGGTTCCCTTGAGGAAGAGTCTTTCAAAAGGCATTGTCATATAAGCGCGCCTTTGTTGTATGTGGCAGAAATAGATACTATTATGTGAAACAAAGATTTTCTTTACTATTTCGATGGAAAAAAAATTAAGGGTGAACTACAAAAATGATAATTAAAGTTTGAGTAAGTGTTTGTTTTCCCTATTGAACTTCTAAAAGTTACAAAATAGTCACTAACGTTATCAATTTGTAACAAATTGGTCACTCACCGGTACCAGGTGCCACAGATCTAAGCATCAAAATTGCTGCCCCATAATCACCCTCAGTCATGGTGAAGAAGAAGAAGAAGAAGAAGGAAGTGAACATAGAATCTAAGGAGGAAGAAGAGAGCAAAAGTCCAATGACTCCATGGGAGCGGTTAACGTTCACACTTCTTCATCTTCACTCATTTCCTATTGCACTCAAACGGTCCAAGTATGCATTAATAGTCCAACTTAGTTTTTCGTCACCCACGCTAACAACATTTAACGACGAGTGACCAATTTGTAACTTTTGAAAGTTTAGTAGGAAAAACTAAAACTTACTCAAACTTTAGTGATCATTTGTGTGGTCTGCCCAAAAATTAAAATGATATTATTTTATTAATTTAACCTTTTATTTCAACCCTTTTTTAAAGTTTACTGTAGTGACGTTCATTGATATTAAATGTTGAGATGGTATGATTAATTTTTTTAAGGAATTTGATCATTTTTTTAAAATTTATGATTTTTTTTGGATAATCAATTTCATTAGCCAAGAAAACATAATTATGCTACAAAAAAAAACCAACTCATTACAACACATCATCCATCTAATAGCAAAGCATTACCAAAGAGAACAGATGCAACAAAGGCTAACAAGGAACAGAGAAAACAACATCACAATTATGAAATACCCCAGCTAACACAAAAGGAAATGTTCCTAGAGTCACTTCTGTTAATTGGCCAACCATCGAGTCGAATCTGGATATCAGTTTTAATGCTCAGCAGGATATCACTCATCGGCCTAAGCAATCCACCATACAGTCTGTTGTTCCTTTCTCTCCATATGTCATACACATAGCTTGTCAAAGCAAGCTTAAACACTCTCGTAAGAAGGGACTTTCCTTTAAGGCAGTGAGCAGCCCATGAAAGCTCGCCTTCCCAGTGGCTTACTCTTCGGACTTTTTAATAACATAAGACCGAGTCCAAGCCACCCACAAGGAACCCTCATCAACCAATAAGTTTCGAATCAACCTCATAGAATAAGCCATATTCCATCCTTGTATATCAATAACACCAAGGCCCCCTTCAGACTTTGGAAGACAGATCTGTCTCCAGCTCACCCTAGCTCCCTTAGCAGGAAGATCAGCACCCTTCTAGAAATACCGAGAGCATAACTGCTCAACTTTCTTGATTACCCCCCGAGGAAGCATAACTTGCCTACACCAATAATTAGTTAGGCTGAACAAAACATAACGCACTAACTGGAGCCTGCCAGCAAAACTCAAATGTTTATTTTCCCACAAGGTCAACCTAGCTCTGATTTTATCAATGAGACTAAGGCAGTCTCTCTCCGTGAGCTTCTTAGTCACCAAAGGAATTCCTAAGTAGCGAACAGGGAGTTTGCCTAATTTAAAACCAGTGCCCTCACTGATGGTAGTGCATTGAGCAGCATTTAACCCCACTACAAAAATCTCACTTTTGTTAATATTTAGCTTCAACCCAGACATGAGATAGAAAACTTCCAGAACAGCTTTGACACCACTAATAGAGTCAACAGAGGGCTTGCAAAAGATGAGGAGATCATCCGCAAAGCAAAGATGGGTTAAACCAATCCTTTTACACTTGAGATGATAATTGAAAATCCCCTTAAGAGCAGCCAGGTTCAATAGATTTGATAATACATTCATGGCAAGCACAAAGAGATAAGGTGAAAGGGGGTCACCTTGCCTAACACCACGAGCCCCCCTAATATAACCAACTAAACTGCCATTTATTACAATCGAATAGCTAGGCTTGGTAAAACAAGCAGAAATCCATCTAATAAATCTAGCAGGAAGGCCAAGAGTAGTGAGAACAACAACTAAGAAATCCCAATTGAGAGAATCAAACACTTTCTGTAGATCCAACTTCAAGGCACATCTAGGGGAAATGTTCTTTCTACTATAGCCCCTAATAACCTCTTGGGCAAGGAGGGTATTATCCACTATACTCCTACCTTTAACAAAAGCAGTTTGATTCTTTAAAACCATGCTAGGGAACACAGTAGACAATCGTCTCACTAAAATCCTTGTAATGGTCTTATATATCACTGTGCAGCATGATATAGGCCTGAAGTCCTTGACAAGGCTAGGATTTGGCACTTTAGGAACCAAGACTACAGCAGTGGCATTAAAGGCATGGAGAATAAAAGATATGTCAAAGCAATACCTGATAGCAGCAACAAAATCCACACCCACTATTGACCAAGCTTTCTTGAAGAAGAAGGGATTAAAGCCATCGGGCCCAGGAGATTTATCATTGCCTTGCCCCCAAATGGCTTCTTTAATTTCAGCATCAGAAACATCTCTGCACAGTTCACCGTCAGCGCCTGTAGGGAATGAGAAATTAAGAATACCCCTAATAGTAGAAATAGTGCTGCCCAAGACATTATCATCTACCAAACCCAGCTGATTCTGGAAAAATTTAATCACCTCAGCCGAAATACCATCAAAAGAGTCCAATCTATTCCCCGCTTGGTCATAGAGAACTCTGATTGTATTACTCTTTCTTCTGCTAGCCACTACTGAGTGGAAGAATTTCATCCCTTGGTCACCCTCCTTGATCCAATTGGCTTTAGCTTTTTGTTTGTAAAATAGTAACCCAGCCTCTTCAAGATTTTTTAGCTCCCTTTCTACTTGAAGTTCATTCTCAATGCTGCTGCCAGCAGAACCCCATTGAAGATTAGCAAGCTGAATACTAAGGAGTTCCTCTCGCTTCTGTTTCATCTTATTTGAAATGTCATTGAAATGAGCTTTATTTAAAGCCTTGAGAGAGCACTTCAACCTCTTCAATTTTTGGAACAAAACCTGAGCTGGATTTCCAACCATTGGTTGCTGCCAAGAATCTCTCACAATGTTTAAAAACCCCGGGTGCAAGGCCCAAAAGTTGAAAAATTTGAACGGCTTTGGCCTTGCAGTAGGGGTTGCCTTGTGGAGCCACACAAAGGCAGGGCAGTGATCCGAGTCCCCAGGGGCCTGAAACTCCACAACAGAATCTGGGAAAACATCGATCCACCTTGGGTTTATCATGACACGATCAAGCTTACAAGCCAAATAAGTATCCTGCTATTTATTTGACCAAGTGGAGCAAGGACCATTGTAAGGGTGATCAAAAATCCCCAAATTATCCACACAATTCCGGAATTCAGAACTGTCAACCAAAGTCGAGGAACTAACATAAACCGAGCTTTCCTCGACATTCAAGATGATGTTGAAGTCACCACCTATAAGCCATGGAAGATCTCCCACAGTACATTCCAGAGAGTTGAGTTGACTCCATAACTGCCTCCTACCATTTCCCTCATTCAAACCATAAACAACAGTAAGAATAAAAGTGTTACCCCCAATAGCACATCTAACATAAATACATTGGTCAAAAACAGAAACAACTGAGCAATCCATACATCTACGCCAGAGAACCCAAATTCGACCGTTGGCAGCATGATTATAATTACATCAAGCTTTCCAATCACTAAAATTTCGACTTAGAATAGTCAAAGAGCTATCAACCTTAACTCGAGTTTCCAATAAGCAGAGAACATCAATTTGGCAATTTGCAGCCCACCTCATCACTTTACCTTGCTTGCGAGGATTATAAAATCCTCGAACATTCCAGTAGCAAATTAACAAAAGAGATTTAGGGAAGAAGAGGCACAACCTCTATCCTCCAGCTTCATAACTTTCTCAACCTGCTCCTTCTTCTTTAATTTCAAATCCTGGACCAGTTTAGCCACCCTTAGCGAAACTGCTCGTTGCTTCTTACCCGAGTCCTCAACCGGCTGCAAATGTTCAGGATCAATGGAGGCCAGAATCTCAAATTTATTCTTGGAGCCCCCCATAGTAGTTTTACCTGTCCTACCTCTTCCACGCTTCAATGGGGGGTTGCTACCAGGAGGACCCTCCTTAGTGATCTGTTTAGTGCCATCTTTAGCTCCATCCCCTGAAGCAGCTTGAGCCTTGTCTAAACAAGTATCAACAACACCTTCAGAATTACATGGATCAATATGCTCAGTCTGAATGCTACCTCCAGGAGCTACTATAGGATTTTGCTTCTCAGCCTCAACTATACTATTATTTACAGTATCATCTAGTTTAGCTTCATGTACTGTTTGCTTTACCCTCCATTCTTGCTTCTTCCCCAGAGGGCAGAATTTAACAGAATGCCCAAATCTCTTACACTCCACACAAGATGAAGGCCTCCAAGGAACAACAACCTTAATTCGGGTAATAGAATCATCGCAAAGCAACACATCTATGTAATCTGGAATCTTAGAATTTACAGAAATTTCTATACAAACCCTAACAAACTCCAATCTCTCCCTAGAAGCTGTAATAGAGTCCATGTGAAGAGGCATACCAATTGCACTTGCAATGTAGCTTAAACCGCTCTTTGAAAATAATTCCAAGGGGACATTGAAGAGTTGAAACCAAATTGGCATGCGATCCAAATCGAAGTGCAGCTCCTTCAAATTCGGCTCCCACTTCCTAAGGAAAAGAGGCTTGTGTTGAATATGCCAGGGACCATTCTCTAAAACCCAGTCCCTGGCATACGAACCAGTAAAAGCAAAAACAAAAAGATTGGATCCCGTAATGCTCACCTTCACCAGAGCAGCCTTGTTCCACATCAGGTCAATCGTCTTCTGCAACAACCCAAAATTGGGAGTTGAGCCTATAAATTGCCCAACAAGAGCGTACCTCCATTCTAAGATCCCCTCTTCGAATATGTGCTTCGGAGGTTTCACAGTAAGCGAACCCTCAATCTCCATTAGAGGGAAGAAATCTAATTCTTGCTCATTGCCCGCCGCAAACAATTTTCTCCAATCAGTTGCAGATCCCGTAGAAATCGCCAACAAAACCCCCAAATCGCAAGCAGAATCAAAAGAAATTCAATCTAGTCGAGAAATCAGAAGGAAATGATGACTTGTCTTCAATCGCTGTTAGTCTTGCTAACATGCACCGAGAGAGAAAACTTTTTTATAAAATTTATGATTTTAAATTTGCGTGAGTTTTAAATTAAAATATTGTAAAACTTTAAGTAATAATGAGAATTTCTTAAAATTTTGAAGGGTCAAGTAATGATTTATAAAATATTTTAAACTTCAACAAAATTTCTCCAAATCTTGGGAGTTCTAGAGGTCCCTTATAGCATTTCATTATCATTCGCCTCTGGCTTAATGCATCTTTTGCCTCCAACGTTCGTTTGTTTTCTTATTTTGGTATATAATGTTTCTTAAAGAAACATTATCATACGTCTCTAGTTTAATCACATATCAAGTTTCTTAAATTTTATTTTATTTTTAATTTAATCTTTAAAAATTATTTAATACTAAATTAATCCTATGTATTTTAAAATTTTACAATTTAATTTAATATTTTTATAATGTTTTTATATTTAATACAGGTCATATATCTTCAATTGGTGTTGTTTATGTGGTATAATCCAACTGAGTTTATGTATAATATTTTTAAATATAATATTTATTCAAATTATATCAAATTATCTTAAATTTTAAAGAAAATCATAAATTTGTGTGCTTTGTCTGTCCCTTCAATATATGTCTTTATTCTTAATGATATATTAAAAATAATAATTAAATCTAGAAAGTTGATTATTAACATCACTTATAATTTTAAATTGAAATGTATACATGTCTCTCGTCTGTTAGGTAGAACTAAACATTCAAACATTTCCGGTTCTAAAATAATAATAATAAACATTCTAACATTTAATTAATAACTCACATGTAAACTAATATTTATAAAACATATTAAAACCAGTGTACCAGCTAAACACTATAGATGTGCATCCCCCAAAGTTTTATTTCGTGTTTTAAATTTTTTTAATACTTATTATAAATTTATAATTTCCTTATTTGTCAGTTTTAATATAAATATATTTGTAAGGTATTTATGTTATTTTTTTATTTTTATATCATAATAGGGATATATATAGGGGCGGATCAAAGCGGTAGCTGGAAAAGTTATCTTTCAAAAATTTCAAATTAATATATATTTTAGATATTTTATTTTTATTTTTAATTGATAATTTATTTTCGTCCCTTAAATTTTTATAATTTTACTAATTTCTATCATTTTAAAATTTCATCCCTTAAAATAAGATCCTACCTATGTTATTGATAAATGTACATTTATATTTGTGGTACACTACAAATATAAACCTAAATAAAATGTGGAGATATAAAGTTGAAAGTTGTAGGCATGTGAAAGAAGAGAGTGTTTGTGGGAATATTTGATATTATCAAAACTCCCTTGATGCCAGTGATAATGATTGAGAATGCTCGGAAACCCATGTAACAGCAATAAAGAGCCACATGTGTAAAACCTATTAAATGGTGGTGGATACATTCGGAAAATAATTTAAATAAAATATAAGAAAATTAGTGGTATAAAAAGGTTTTAAATTTTAATTGATGTAGATTTTTCCTCCAATTTTCATGGCCTATTAGTATTTTTAATTATTATATTTTAAAAAAATTAATATTCAATGCTTTTGTTTTCATTAATCTTTTTGATAAATATTTGAGTTAATTGCATCACATGTCCTCAAACTATGACCCTTGTTTTAGATTAGTCCCTAAACTTTTAAATATTCCAATTTCATTCCCAAACTACGACCCTCATTATAAATCAATCCACAAAGCTTTTGAACATTCCGATTTCATCCCAAACTATACATTTATACTAATCACATCCCTCGTTAATAAAATCGTTTGGCCAAGTTATATTATTATATGTTTGGGAAAAAAATTATGTTAAATTATGGGTGACACTAATTGCATATTTGGATGATTTTTGAGATGAAACTAGGATATTCAAAAGTTTTGGGACCAATTTAGAAAGATGGTCATAGTTTAGGGATGAAATTAGAATGTTCAAAAGCTTAAGGACTAGTATAGAATGAGAGTCATTATTTGAGGATGGAATTGGAATATTTAAAAGTTTAAGGACCAATTAGCTCTAAATATTTTATTGATTATATATATATGTTTAAAAAGTAATGAATGGAAGATTTGCTAAAAAGAAACTTCAAAGAAGAAAAAAGGGAGCGAAAATTCATTAAAAAGAAATAAAGTGAAAAAGGCAAAATGAAGAATCTCAAGGCATAAAGTAGTGATTATTGTAGGAGTAAAGTGGAAGCAAGTGAAATGAAAATCAAATCCTTTTCATCTTAGCTTTTCACAATAAACGTGACAATGCGCCTATGGTTCATGTCACGTCACGTCATGTCCTCTCTTTTGAATTTTGATTATTGTATATGTATGTGCATGTATATATAATATTGGGTCCTTTAAATCCCCAATTTTCTTTATAAAGTCGGGTCTTTCAGCTTTGTTATGGGACAAATTCAGAACCCTTGGTCCCTTTTATCTTCCTTTTGAAAATGATACTTTTTTCTTCTTTTTTAAAGTCATGAAAAAAGAAAAAAAAAAGAAATTATACTTCATGGATAATGAGTGAGACTAATGTTTACGTTGTAAAGATTGTTTAATTATTTTTTTATATTTAGTATAATAATTTCTAATGAACTAGAAAAATAAAATATCAATGAAATCTTTAGTTTAACTGACAACGTTGACATATAATATTTAACATTTAAAAGATTGTTGAATCATTAAGTGATTTTAACAGTAGAAAATAGTGTTATTTTTTATATAGGTCGCAAATTCGAATATCAAAGTTTGCAGGGTATGTATACATTATTAATAACTAAGAAAAATCTTTTGAATAAAGATTATATTATAATTATTTCATACCGTTAAAATAATTAAAATTAAGTAAAAAGATGAACCTTAAGTTGTACATAAATATAGTTTTTTTTCACACTAAAGATGGGCACATGAAATGGGATGGGGATAATGCCCACAATTTTGGTTGGTGGAATGGGGTAGTGGGGGCAGAACTCACAAGTAATGCCTAATGGTCAAGGAAAGGGTTGGATTCATCGATTTAGACAAAAACAAGGGGAAATGATAAATTGCAATCGATTAGAGCAATGTCCTTGTTTATAATTCCAAACATTTTCAGTAAGTGCTGAAATGTAATTTACTGACGTGCTTGTATCAGTTTGGAAATGTTTCATAATGAAAGTTAAAATGATGGTGGAGACTTGAAGGAGGAACTGTAATATCCTAGTTTGTGATCAAAATGTAAATTTTAAAAGTTTAGTGACTAAAATAGAGAAAAGTGTAGGGACCTAAATGGTAATTTTCTCAAAAAGAGTTTTTATTCCATAATTTGATAGTTTATTCTTGATAATGGGATTTTGTGGAAATCAGATTATTGATCTGAAATTTATGTTGCAAACTAGAAGGAGTTAAAGTCCCGTAAGAATTTGGTAATTCGTATCGAGTAGAAATTCCAGAAAAATTTGAAGGATGATAAGTTAGGATAAAAATATTATTTCCACATGTTAAAATGATGGAAAATAATATGGATAATTTGATTTGAGAATTTATTTTCATGTTCAATTTGGACCGTTAGATTTAAATGGCAAGATTGAAATTTTTAGAAAGTTGCTTGGTTAAATTGAAAAAGGGTAAAATATTTTGTCCATCATTGACTTTGGAAGATGATAAGGGTTATGTGCCTTGGTATTATGATAAATATCAAGTTTCATTAATTGTAAAATAAACATTTCACATTAAATGAATTTTTAATTCATTTAAACTTTAATATAAGGTTAAATTAACATAAAATTCATTAGAAATTTCATGAAAACTTAGCCATTTTTAGCTCCATGGCCATGTACCCCATTCAGAGATAAGAGAAAATTTATTTTCCAATTTTGAACAATTTCTTTTAGATTTTGAATCATGTCATGAAATAGTAAAATAAACATTTCACATTAAATGAATTTTTAATTCATTTAAGCTTTAATATAAGGTTAAATTAACATGAAATTCATTATAAATTTCATGAAAACTTAGCCATTTAGCTCCATGGTTGTGTACCCCATTTAGAGGTAAGAGAAATTTTATTTTTCAGTTTTGAGTAATGTCCTTTGGATTTTAGATCAAGCCGTGAAATAGAAAAGTGTTCTATTCGAAAAATGCTATCATTTGATAATATTATTGTTTGCTAATTTGGTTTGTGTTCAAAGATCCCAAATTCTAGGATTTATGGAATTGATGAAGGATTTTGATGTTTTTGAGGTTGTAGAATTAATTCCAAGCATGATTTATGATTAAAATCAACTATACATGCCTATATAAGCTATGGGTAATTTCAGCCTAACTCTAATCTTGGAGGAATATTATGTTATGATGAAATTTGATTATGAATTTGATGGTAGAGTTTGTATAAGGTTGATTCGAGATTTATTTCATGCTTGAATCGAATCAAAATCGAATAAAATCATGAAAACCTAGTTTTGAGTATATAAATAATTCGAACTTGGCCTTAAAGGATGAGGAAAATTTTGCAAAAATTATGTAAGTGTTGAAAATGATGTAGGAAGTATTCTATAAGCCTTAGAAAAATTTGGAGATCATTCTATAATTTTTGAAAAGTTTGGGGGCCAAATTGACAAATTTGGAAAAGTTGTGGATTGTTGTGTAATTGTTCAACTTTTGATGTACTATGCTGGAAATTAATGTTTGAGTGTTGAAATTGAAGTTGGGATGTGAAATTAGATTATTTTGGAAAGTTTGTAAAAGTTGAGGTTTAAATAAAAAAACATGGAAAGGTTGAGAATTTAAGTGAAAATGTTATGTGAAGTTGGGATAAAAAGGAACTTGAGTGGTCA